ACCGATTGGTCCTAGGACCAGGAATTGGACCGGTCCAATGGAATCGGTCACTTTTTTTTTTTCCACTACTTTATACCATATGTTTTGAAATTAAAATCGTATTCCCCATACCAACTACATATAATTATACAAATAAGCACGCAATTCGAGCCAATGCGATGATGAATTGTGTTCCCCATGCCGACTACACATGTGTTCTAAACATGGAATTGTATTCTTCATGCCGACTACAAATAATCACAAAAAAAGTTTATGTAGTTGGTTCAGTCAGGTTCATCCGGTTTGGTCCGGTTCCTCCTTGGAATCAAGAACTAGACCACCCGGACACCGGTTCCACTTTTAGGAACCGGGAACCGGATCGAAACTCCCGGGAATCGAATCCAATCGGCCGGTTCGGTCCGGTCTGAGCGGTTCGTTTTGCACACCCCTAATAAAAAGGCATTAGCGTTGGAATTAGAGAGAGAAACCACAAGTTAGGAGTGAGAGAAATGCACTTATCTTCTTTGGGAATGAGCTATTTGAGCCCTCTTTACAGTCAGAATTCTTCATGCTGAAGGGAAGCCATACACAAGCCATTTAGGCCTTATATAAAGCCTTACACAAGCCCAAAATAGTGCAATGTGCAAACCCCGGCAGGCCTTGCCCAGCGCTAGCACGGTGCTGGCTAATGCCACTTGGTGCTGCTGCTGCTGGCGGTCTTCTTCTTCTTTTTTCTTTTTTTTCTTAAAATGATCATTGAATTTATTCATGTTTTGAAATATTTACCAAACTTTGACCAAGCATATCTTAACTGTCCGATGCAATTGACCAGATTCTTTGTGCCCACTGAATCTCGTGATCCGAAACTTTCGAAAATGTGGTCTGATTTTGAAAATATTTTTGTGGTCACAGATTTTTTAGCATATGCCCAAACGGACAATCATAATAAAAAGTTAACAACATTTTCTACATAAAAATCTTCTATGGCTTAGAGGACAGCTGCCTCTCCTTTCGCCACCCCTCCGACTGCCATTACATATGACTATTTTTTAATTTAACTTAAACAAGTAGCAGATTTCTGGATTTTGTATAAGCGTGCATTTTTCTCTCTCCGTCTTACTTGTTGGCTTCAAAGACCTTCTAGAAAAGACATCTTCGATGTGACCGTTGAGGATGTCATGGAGAAGCAGAATAGCCGTTAGAGTTCGTTGGTGCTGCTATTCGAGGAACTAGCTGCCCATACAGTCTTTTCCCGAACATTTGCAGACTTCCTGAAAATAGCTTATGTTGCTGTTCTGTAGCTACGATTTTGACATATTGTCAGACGACCTATTCTCTTATTTTTCGAATCTTTTGCTGTGTATGTTCAGTCGCCAATGGTTATAATAGTGAGAGATCAGTCATACTCAATGATCCGTTATTCTAATATCACCAATGATTTGATCTTTTGCATCATTAATAAAACATCGTCATTAAACTGAATCTGTGTATGTCCAGTCACCAACAGCTATAGTAATGAGACAACGGTCATACTCAATGATCCGTTATCCTAACATCACCAATGACTTGATCTTTTACAGCATTAATAAAACATCGTCATTAATAAAACATCCTCATTGAATCTGCCTCTGGTGGGGTGCATGCATCCAACCAGTTCATAAATATTCTCTTTTTAGATCGATCAAAGAAATTTGAGGTGCAAAAATGAATTTACCGAATTGATCTATGAAGCAAGACAAGAAGTTTTAAGTGGATACTTGGGACAACAAAACTCTAATCAATGCTACCCATCTATTCCGTGCAGGAGAAGACCAAGCGACTGGGAATAAACGGTAGAGAGAAACATGGAATTAAAAAAACACACGCTTAATTCTTTAGCCTAAAATAAATAAATAAAACACAAACAAACAAGAATAAGTATTGTACAAAACCCATCATCTGATCAAATGCGGCAAGGATCCATCTGCGAAACAGCTGGTCGTTGACTATGAGTCAATAAGACCAGTATCGACTTCAATTTATCCGGGGTCGACGTGGAAGTTGCCTCGCGCGTGCTCTTTCTTAGTTGCCTTTTTCTTTTTCCTAACGTAGGGTGTCATTTTCCAAAGCGCTTTTTAGCCGCCCCGTGCTAGCCAGCTTAAGATAACATTATATAATGTAGTTTTGTCATTATCGAATGCCCCCGTCTTTATTCGACCAAATAAAAAAAATCCCATCGTAAGGGTCAAGCTTCCTTGGGCCCTTGCTTCTTTCACTTTGTCGGACTTCTTTAATCGATCTAAGGAGAGAGAATTTGTGAACTGGTTGGGCGCACACGCCCTACCAGAGGCAGATTCAATTTTAGGTAACGGAAGTGGCCGTTTTATGAATATTAAGATAATAAGGAAAATAAATCAAATGATGGTCCTGAATATTATCACGTCTTCCGTCGATAATGACAAAACTACATTATATAATGTTATCTTAAGCTGGCTAGCACGGGGCGGCTAAAAAGCGCTTTGGAAAATGACACCCTACGTTAGGAAAAAGAAAAAGGCAACTAAGAAAGAGCACGCGCGAGGCAACTTCCCCGTCGACCCCGGATAAATTGAAGTCGATACTGGTCTTATTGACTCATAGTCAACGACCAGCTGTTTCGCAGATGGATCCTTGCCGCATTTGATCAGATGATGGGTTTTGTACAATACTTATTCTTGTTTGTTTGTGTTTTATTTATTTATTTTAGGCTAAAGAATTAAGCGTGTGTTTTTTTAATTCCATGTTTCTCTCTACCGTTTATTCCCAGTCGCTTGGTCTTCTCCTGCACGGAATAGATGGGTAGCATTGATTAGAGTTTTGTTGTCCCAAGTATCCACTTAAAACTTCTTGTCTTGCTTCATAGATCAATTCGGTAAATTCATTTTTGCACCTCAAATTTCTTTGATCGATCTAAAAAGAGAATATTTATGAACTGGTTGGATGCATGCACCCCACCAGAGGCAGATTCAATGAGGATGTTTTATTAATGACGATGTTTTATTAATGCTGTAAAAGATCAAGTCATTGGTGATGTTAGGATAACGGATCATTGAGTATGACCGTTGTCTCATTACTATAGCTGTTGGTGACTGGACATACACAGATTCAGTTTAATGACGATGTTTTATTAATGATGCAAAAGATCAAATCATTGGTGATATTAGGATAATGGATCATTGAGTATGACCGATCTCTCACTATTATAACCATTGGCGACTGAACATACACAGCAAAAGATTCGAAAAATAAGAGAATAGGTCGTCTGACAATATGTCAAAATCGTAGCTACAGAACAGCAACATAAGCTATTTTCAGGAAGTCTGCAAATGTTCGGGAAAAGACTGTATGGGCAGCTAGTTCCTCGGATAGCAGCACCAACGAACTCTAACGGCTATTCTGCTTCTCCATGACATCCTCAATGGTCACATCAAAGATGTCTTTTCTAGAAGGTCTTTGAAGCCAACAAGTAAGACGGAGAGAGAAAAATGCACGCTTACACAAAATCCAGAAATTTGCTACTTGCTGTACTCTTAGCAAAAAGATGTTATTTGTCTATAACACTTGTTGCATTGTTGTTGTTATGAAAGATCAAGTGTACCAAGTGATAGCAACACCCAATTCCAGATAGTGCGATCTATCATCTGATAGGATTGGTGTTTGCTGAGTGTAACTTGTTCAGCCGATTTATAGTGTATTCCAGCCCGACTTGTGGCTGTTAGTGGTGAGAGTAGAAGTAGGCTTGGGGATAAAGCCGAACCACTATATATCTTTGTGTTATGATATTTATCTTCCTGTTTATCTTCTTTAGCACACGATCAGGTCACCGTTTCACACACATCTAGTTGAACTTAATATTTTCTTAGCACTTGCTGTTTTCCGCAAATTTTTGAAAAACCTATAAAACAACCTATTGACTTCCCTCTAGGATGTATAAATTGGGGTGTCAGCCATATGTTCACTAGAAGTCTTAAAACTCTTTACGAATGTGCAATTGAGTCCTAAAACTTATAAAAAGTGCAATCAAGTCCTAAAACTCGTCAAATTGATTCAATCGAGTCCTAAAGTTAACACCGTCCAATTTCACTAACGAAAAATGCTGATGTGGCTTTTTTATTATTTTTTTATCCTACGTGGCAATGACGTGACTTATTATTATTATTTTAATATTAAATTTTTCTAATTTTATTTAAAAAACAAGCTAAATTAAAAAAAAAATTTGAGGATTAGGAGGACAAGCGGGGAGGAAGGGCTTGCCCTCCCCACCACCGCCGCCGCCTCACCATGGCCTGGAGGGGCCGCCGACCCTCGCCCGATCGGGGGGAGGGCCGGCGACCCCTCGCCCAGATCTGGGGGAGGGTCGCGACCCCTCGCCTAGATGGCCATGGCCCGGCAATGGCGGGATGGCAGTGGGGAGGGCAAGCCCTCCCTCCCCGCCTATCCTCCTCCCTAATTTTTAAATTTTAAATTTTGCTTATTTTTGTATTTAGTTTAAATAAAATTAGTATTAAAAATCAAATTTGAGCCAAAACGACGTCGTTTTGGCCACGTAGGAGAGAGAAAATATTAAAATAAGTCACGTCAGCACCACGTCAGCATTTTTCGTTAGTAAATTTGATGGTATTAACTTTAGGATTCATTTGAACCACTTTAACAAATTTTAGGATTTGATTGCACTTTTTACAAGTTTTAGGACTAATTTGCATCTTTGTGACAAGTTTTAGGACTTCTAGTGAAAATATATATATTTTTTTTATTCCTGTCGAGTAGGTCGATCCCTATCACCTCGTTTGAGTCCATTTTCCCAATTCGATCCCTAACACCTCGCTGTTTCAATGGTCCATTAGCGATTATTTCTGGCTTTTGAGCCGACAATGATCCTGCGTCCAAGAAATCTTTGTCTTTCGACTTTGATCAGCTGCACTAACCTTAGATTCTCTTGTTAATACAGTGCTCTTCGTCAAATCGTTACTTTTAGGTCGTGCGGTATGGACTAGTTCCATTTGCTAATCTAACTGCGGTGATGAAGATGTAATTAAGTTTAAGCAATCTAAAACGAATTAAGAATACAGTAGCCAAAGCAAAACCCAGAAATGAAGCACAAATTTCACTGGTCTGATTTCTCCAAATTACATTGATGGTACATCAACCTCATGTCTCTCTCTGAAGCTGTGTCGCAGAGCTTGGTCACTTCTTGGGATGATAATGAGCGTAAACGGCGAAGGCGGCCTGGAAAATAGTAAGAACTAGGAGAGTGAAAGCAGCGGCAGCCGAAATGAAGGACCAGGGGCTGCCGAAGTACTTGCGCTTGATTCCCGGCCACCACACGCGCCACTTGTTCGGACGGTACTGGGTGACTTGCCCGAATAACTCGGCCAAGTAGCTTGACTTGATATCGAATAGGACATCCTTAACGAGATCATTAAAGAACCTCGCGACCTCCTCGTCGGTCCCTAGAAAGTTCGTGATTATGCCGCACTGAGACAGGACCGCTGCATCCGCCGCCGTGCTCATGAGACATCTCATGAGGACCGCGTAACTGGAGATGTGCTTGGAGCAGTAATGGTAGGACTGCTCATAGGCCACGCAGTTGAGGAAGAAGGAGCTGGTGAAACGGTCGAGAGTCAAAGGAGGGATCTGGAGCACTCCGTGATCGAACTCGACGCTTATTAGGTTCTTGCTCTTCCTCCGTTTAAACTTTATTCCCACTTGAAGCAGCTGATTTGCGGAGGGCATCAGTTGCAGCAACTCTTTATCGACCATTGGGGGATTTTCGGGCGCCAATTCGCCGACTAAGCACAGTCGGAACAAGTCGAGTAAGTGCGTGATATTGCAGACTCCGGAGTACCTCTGGAGATCTTCCTTCGGCCATTGGAGTACGCTGTTGAAGAACCCTAAGGCGATGACATCAAGGGAGCGGTCGGCATCAGAAGGAGACTTGGATAATTCGTAGATCTCACGAAGAACGAAAATTGGGATCTGGTTTTCAATCATGAGGACGTCGAGCATGAGGAACGATACAATCCATGGCATGGAGAACAAGGGGTCGTCATCTAATGGAATTACCCCGGCACTGACGCAGAAGAACTCGACGACGAAACAAGCATCGAGAATCATCATCTTGATCAAATCCGAGGTATTACAATCGAGGGCCTCTGAGTAGCTATCCCGTATGTGGGTCTCCCGCGAGGCGACAGCATTGAAGTAATTGTCCATGCAGCCTCCGGTCCGAATGAGCAGTGTGTCGAACACTCGAGGTTTGTGCTGCTCGATCAGCTTCAACTGCTCTTGCCCATGGTGGTACGGGCCAACGGACACAACCCGGGGCTTGTAAGCATTGGCGTTGCTCTCCGACAGGCTCTTGGGAACTCTGAAGATGTAGCAAGAACAGGTGCCGGCCGAGGACTTCAGAAGAGCCGGCGGCTCCGCAGCCACCGTGATTGCGCAGTGGTTGTTGTCTCCGTTCATTCTGGTTTTGGTGGTTGATTCCGCCGAGTCAAGCTTTCATTTCGCGTCCCTGAATCATTTTGCTGAGTGGAATGTTATGCTGATGCAAGGCATTGAGATGTGACTTGCGTCAATATACATTACTCTATTGGAAGGTCGGAACATCGTGCCAGGCCCCGGTGGGCACATAAGTTCCTTTATCTAATGAAAAACCCTTTCACATCATAAACATTTTGCGTCAACGAAAAAAGAGTACTGTTCGGCTGCTCGAGGAAAGCTCCAAAATATAAGATATAAATACATTGAAAGTTCTAAAATTTATCACGAAAGTACAATTGAATCATAATAATATTGGTTATTTGTTTGTAAAATAAACAAAATAGTACTTTTCCTTATCCCACATAAGAAAGTTAGGATTGTGTGGGTCACTGTATATGTGTGGATGTATTATAACCTGTTCAAATGAAGACGATGGGCTAAGTGAGCTTGATCCTACAATACTTGCGTGCGGGTGCGCTCGCGGATTATAATTGGCACTAATCCTCATTTATTAATTTATTTATTAAATTTCGAATTTATTCCTATAAAATAACCGTTTTATCCTTTTGTAGCAGTGTGACTTTGGTATGTCTTTTGAGAAGGCATCTTTTCATAATGCAACTTTTCCTGAAAGGTTGCATTCGGTTCAAAAGACTGAAATATATATATATATATATATATATATATATATTGAGAAGATCCAGTTTCTTCAATTTGCGAAAGGGCTTGTTTTAGCATTCCTGCTAGCTGTTGATGGGATTTAGCAGATGCTAATTTAGAAAGTACAAACCCTTTATCATGTAGAAAGGGGGTGGTATCCTCAGATCTGATGGGGATGGAGCCCCTAGAAACTAGCCAATTTGAAATGGCTTGTTTGGTGACCCTATCAAAGAATTTGAAACCATTCCACCATTTGACTTTGAATCGCTTTATGAGGATGGTAATGCCAGTTTCAATGGCTTTTCTGTAATCAAAATACCATCCCAAAACCCAAGACACTCCAAAATAATAAAAGAAGAGCATTAGTTTGGGAAAGTTTTTCTCATATGGAAGTGGAGTAAATTTTTCAAGGAAAAGTTCATAAGCAGGTTGAATCTTCGGGTGGATAATTTCATCAGTTGGTCCCAAATGTTCCCACCATCTAATGAACCAGTATAAAACGAGCTTGATATCAAAGTTTTCAAAAAAGAATAGCCAAGTATGAGAATTATTGGCATTCTTTCTCCAAAAAGTGTTCCATCAGGCTTGTTGATAGTCAAAATATGAGAAGGATGATATGTATGGAAGGGCATCGGTCGTATTGAATTTTTTCAAGGCCAATGGATCAAGTTTCCATTGAGAAGGGTGGATGACCCTGTGAATTTTGGCCGTGGAGTAATTCACATGACCTTTATCAGAAAAATGTCTGAAGGTAACAGACTTTGTTTCTTCTAAAATTTTCTCATAAAATTCGGTTGTTTTGTAAATATCATGAGGGGTATAAAAGAATTTTTCAGAAAACATATTTTTGGCAAAAAGATATCGATCCTCATTATAAAAGCCATTTTCAACATTACAAATGTTTTGAAATATTGTCTTATGAAAAAATTTTGATTTTGGTGGGGTTGCCTAGGTAGACTGTATGACCACCTCACTAGAAATTGTTTTTCCCTTTGCCTTCTGAGTGGCTATGGGAGATGGGTCTGGACTGACCATTGCCATGGAAGGTTGGGGCTGTGTATTGAAAGCTTGTTGGAGAAGCTGTAAAGCCTCTTCTTGTGACAATTGGGTTATGTCATATTGAGAAAGTTTATTGAAGTCAGAAGGATTTCCTGTAAGAGGAATGGGTTCCTTTTTGACCTAGTTGGAAATGGTAGTAATATTCACTGGCTGGTGAGCAGCCTGAAGCCAGGTCCTGATATTGGTTAAGCCGGGGGGTTTCTTTTCAGAAGATGGTTATGCAATCTGTTTTCCTTTGTCTCTCTTTGTGGGCTTGTTGGGTGGTTTGGGAGGCATTTTCCCTGTAAAAATTCTCTTGTGAGAAAATCTGGGAGAGAATTTGAAGAACCGTTTATAAATTCTATATCAAAATCAAAAACCGATAAAATTGCTTGCCATCTAGCAAAAATTTGTTTAGAAGCAATATTTTGAACATCTTTCTGCAAAACATCTTTTGCAGATTTGCAATCAATCCTTAGCAAAAATTTTTGATTCAAAAGGTCTCCTTGAAACTTAGAAATAGAAAGTACAATAGCAAGAATCTCCTTTTTAATGGTGGAGTAATTCTTCTGACAATCATTCCAATGCTTGGAGACAAATTGAACAATTTGTTCCTTATTGTCTTTGGATTATTTAAGAATTCCTCCGTAACCAATATCAGAAGCATCAGTTTCAACAATTTTGAAGGCAAAAGGATCAGCAAGATGTAAACAAGGAATTTTCTTGACAGTTCGCTTGATCTGTTTTACAATATCAGTGTGAGTCTGAGTCCATGGTGGAGGGTCTTTTTTTGAGCCTCTGATGGAGTGGTTTGCAAATTATGTTGATACGAGGAAAGAATTCAATAATATAATTCAAACTTCCAAGAAATCTTTGCAATTGGTTTTTGTCTCTGATTTCATCGGGAAATTTTTCAGAAAATATTATTGATCTTTCAATAGGTATGATGGTTCCTTGATGGATGTAATGTCCTAGAAAACGAATTTTTGTTTTGAAAAGAGATATTTTAGTAGGTGAAACTACTAAACCATTTTTCTTCACAACATTGATAAAATGATTGATGTGTTTAAAATGTTTTTCTATGGATGTAGAGAATATTAAAACATCATCTATGTAAACTATAATGTAATCAGAACAATGATTAAAAATATCATTCATAATCCTTTGGAATTCAGAAGGGGCGTTTTTTAATCCAAAAGGCATGACATTCCATTCATATTGGCCAAAAGGAACAGTAAAAGCCGTTTTATACTTATCCTTTTCGCTAATCTGGATTTGCCAGAAATCTGATTTCATGTCAAATTTTGAAAAGATTTTTGCATTACAAAGTCTATTCAATAAATCCTTTTTATTAGGAATTGGATATCTTATCCATTTTAAAGCTGTATTCAAAGGTTTATAATTAATTACCAGTCTTAGAACTCCTCTTTCTAGTTCAGCATTTTTGTTGACTAGAAAGCAGAGCAACTCCAAGGTGATTGGTTTTTCTTAATAAGCTTCTTCTCAAGAAGTTCCTGTATTTCTTTTTGACAGAAATTTAGAACTTCGTGATTCATTTGAGAAGGTATGGCTTTAGTAGGAATGTCTTTTTCTGAAAATTCTGGTTCATAAGGTAGATCAACTATGTGACGCTTACGAGACCAGAAAGCATTGGGAATATTGGAACATATGGAATCTTTGATTTGATTTTCAAGATTGGAAATCTTCTTTTGAAGACTTATTTCAAAAAGATTTTTGTCAATCTTTTTGTATTCAAGGTCTTCTTTAAGAAACTGAAGATGAGACTCTTTGTCTCGGATTATACAATTAATTTCAGAAATGGAATGTTCTTGAAGAGTATTCAAATTTCTGGTTTGGGGTTTTGAAATGAAATTAAAACATATTCTTTTGCCTAAGGTTTCTGTTTCGATTCCTTTTTCAGAAACTTTAAAAGGTTGGAGTAAATTGATAAAAGGTGATCCCAAAATAACATTTTGCTTGATATTTTTAACAAGAAGAAAAGGAGTTTTAAAAGAGATTTGGTCTTTCACAATTTCAACTTCAGGAATTTTGTAATTTATAATCAGCTTATCTCCAGATGCTGATTTGAGAGACTAGGAAGTTTTCTCAAAATATTTGGTTAGTATAAGACCTTCTTTTATACAATTAAGGTCTGCACCAGTATCAAAAAGGGCTGTTGTTTCTAAAACAATTTCATTTTGGATTTTTATAGAAATATTGATAATCCATTTTCTGGTGGTAATTTCAGAAAGCATCAAAAGGAAGTTGGTATCAGAAGAAGAAGGGAGTTGAGGAACATTATTTTCTTCAAAATCTTCTTCTTTTTGTTTTTCTTTTAAATTTTTCATTTTTATATCTAAAATGTCTTTTTGCATAATTATCTGGGCAGCTTTGAGATTTTGTATCTCTTCCTTTTGTTTATTAATTTCGTGAGTAAGATCACTTATAGAAATGGGTTTGAAATTAGTATTCTTAGCCTTGCCAAGAATAGTAGAATATTATAAGGATTGTCATTCTGGAGAGTAGATTTGGAAATTGGCTTGGGGTTTTGGAAACTATTCAAATATTTATTTTTGTTTCTGGATCAGTGATCTGATCGATCGTTTGCAAAAGAATTTCTTCTTCTTTTGTCAAAACATTTATTTCAAAACTGGTAATGTCTTCATCTTCACTATCTGAAGTTGATGATGAAGAGGTTTCTAAATCACAAATCTGCAATCCTTTTTCAAAGCTAGACTCATCAGAAGAACTACTGTCAGCTTTGGCCATTAATTGGTTGAGCTGGTTGATAGTTTCTTCATCTAGATCTAACTCATTAACCTTTTTACTAATTTTACAAAACCGAGAAGTGTGGCCTTTCTTACCACAATTATAGCAAGTGATGTTTTTAAAATTTCTTTTAGGTTTTTTGGTTTTATCAAAACTATCATCTTCTTTCTTTTTAGAAAACTTTTTATCAAATTTCTTTTTATAAGGTTTCTTATGAAATTTCTTTTGCTCTTTCTTTTTAGAGGAGCATTTTCCTGAACATTTGGTTTTATCCAAGGACTCAAAAGACGGATCATATTGGGCACAAAAATCTCGTAAACCTTTGTTAGAAAGTTTCTGTCCTTTCTTAATTTGTTTTTGGAGACGAATATTGATGCACAATTGTGTTCCTATTTTATAAACATAGGAGGTTAATTCACCGTAAGAAAGATGGTCATATGGAATTTGATTTCCATATTCTTCTCTTATCTTACCACGAACTTGTTCTCCTATGAGTTTTGGTAAACCAGCAAGAAATTTTTCTTTCCAAAAAAACTGGTTGCAGTCTGT